TGTGGTGCAGTTGGAGTAGGAGCATCTGGATAAATGTTTTGTTCTTTTTCTTACTGATTTTTATTTTTATTTTTTTATTTTTTTATTATGTTATGTTAATCACCATACATTACATCATCAGTTTTTGATGTAGTGTTCCATGATTCATGGTTTGTGTATAACACCCAGTGCTCCATGCAAAATGTGCACTCTTTAATACACATCACCAGGCTAACCCATCCCCCACCTCCCTCCCCTCTAGAACCCTCAGTTTGTTTCTCAGAGTCCACAGTCTCTCAAGATTCATCTCCCCCTCCGATTCCCCCCCTTCATTCTTCCCCTCCTACTATTTTCTTCTTCTTCTTTTTTTTTAACATATCATGTGTTATTTGTTTCAGAGGTACAGATCTGTGATTCAACAGTCTTGCACAATTCACAGCGCTCACCATAGCACATACCCTACCCAATGTCTATCACCTAGCCACCCCATCCCTCCCACTCCCCACCACTCCAGCAACCCTCAGTTTGTTTCCTGAGATTGAGAATTCCTCCTATCAGTGAGGTCATATGATACATGTCTTTCTCTGATTGACTTATTTCACTCAGCATAACACCCTCCAGTTCTATCCATGTCATTGCAAATGGCAGAATCTCATTCCTTTTGATGGATGCATAATATTTCATTGTATATATGTTACCACTTCTTCTTTATCCATTCACCTGTCTATGGACATCGTGGCTCTTTCCACAGTTTGGCTACTGTGGACATTGCTGCTATAAACATCAGGGTACATGTACCCCTTTGGATCCCTACATTTGTATCTTTGGGGTAAATACCCAGTAGTGCAATTGCTGGATTGTATGGTAGCTCTATTTTCAACTTTTTGAAGAACCTCCATACTGTTTTCCAGAGTGGTTGCACCAGCTTGCATTCACACCAACAGTGTAGGAGGGTTCCCCTTTCTCCGCATCCCCGCCAACATCTGTCGTTTCCTGACTTGTTAATTTTAGCCATTCTGACTGGTGTGAGGTGATACCTCATTGAGGTTTTGATTTGAAATACCCTGATGCCGAGCGATGTTGAGCACTTTTTCATGTGCCTGTTGGCCATTTGCATGTCTTCTTTGGAAAAATGTCTGTTCATGTCTTTTGCCCATTTCTTGATTGGATCATTTGTTCTTTGGGTGTTGAGTTTAAGAAGTTCTTTATAGATTTAGGATACTAGCCCTTTATCTGATATGTCATTTGCAAATATCTTCTCCCATTCTGTCGGTTGTCTTTTGGTTTTGTTGACTATTTCCTTTGCTCTGCAAAAGCTTTTTATCTTGAAGGCGTCCCAATAGTTCATTCTTGCCCTGGCTTCCCTTGCCTTTGGCGATGTTTCTAGGAAGAAGTTGCTGCAGCTGAGGTCGAAGAGGTTGCTGCCTGTGTTCTCCTTTAGGATTTTGATGGACTCCTGTCTCACATTTAGGTCTTTCAACCATTTGGAGTCTATTTTTGTGTGTGGTGTAAGGAAACGGTCCAGTTTCATTCTTCTGCATGTGGCTGTCCAATTTTCCCAACACCATTTGTTGAAGAGACTGTCTTTTTTCCATTGGACATTTTTCCACATTGAGAATGATATTTGCTGTGGGTTTTTCATAGATGACTTTTATGATATTGAGGTATGTACCCTCTATCCCTATACTCTGAAGAGTTTTGATCAAGAAAGGATGCTGTACTTTGTCAAATGCTTTTTCTGCACCTATTGAGAGGATCATATGGTTATTGTTCTTTCTTTTGTTAATGTATTGTATCACATTGATTGATTTGCGGATATTGAACCAACCTTGCAGCCCAGGGATAAATCCCACTTGTTCGTGGTGAATAATCCTTTTAATGTACTGTTGGATCCTATTGGCTAGTATTTTGGTGAGAATTTTTGCATCCATGTTCATCAAGGATATTGGTCTGTAATTCTCCTTTTTGATGGGGTCTTTGTCTGGTTTGGGGATCAAGGTAATGGTAGCCTCATAAAACGAGTTTGGAAGTTTTCCTTCCATTTCTATTTTTTGGAACAGTTTCAGGAGAATAGGTATTAATTCTTCTTTAAATGTTTGGTAGAATTCCCCTGGGAAGCCATCTGGCTCTGGGCTTTTGTTTGTTGGGAGATTTTGGATGACTGCTTCCATTTCCTTAGTGGTTATAGGTCTGTTCAGGTTTTCTGTTGCTTCCTGGTTCAGTTTTGGTAGTAGATACTTCTCTAGGAATGCATCCATTTTCTTCCAGATTATCTAATTTGCTGGCATAGAGTTGCTCATAATATGTTCTTAGAATTGTTTGTATTTCTTTGGTGTTGGTTGTGATCTCTCCTCTTTCATTCATGATTTTGTTGATTTGGGTCCTTTCTCTTTTCTTTTTGATAAGTCTGGCCAGGGGTTTATCAGTCCTGTTAATTCTTTCAAAGAACCAGCACCTAGTTTCGTTGATCTGTTCTACTGTTCTTTTGGTTTCTATTTCATTGGTTTCTGCTCTGATCTTTATTATTTCTCTTCTGCTGGGTTTAGGCTTTATTTGCTGTTCTTTCTCCAGCTCCTTTAGGTGTAGGGTTAGGTTGTGTATCTGAGACCTTTCTTGTTTCTTGAGAAAGGCTTGTATTGCTATGTACTTTCCTCTCAGGACTGCCTTTGCTGTATCCCAAAGATTTTGGACAGTTGTGTTTTCATTTTCATTGGTTTCCATGAATTTTTTAAATTCTTCTTTAATTTCCTGGTTGACCCATTCATTCCTTAGTGGGATGCTCTTTAGCCTCCATGTATTTGAGTTCTTTCCAACTTTCCTCTTGTGATTAAGTTCTAGTTTCAAAGCATTGTGGTCTGAAAATATGCAGGGAATGATATACACTAAACAAATCAGAAAAGACCTGAATCCAGGGGAAAAGAAAGGGAAAGAAAGGAAAAAGAAAAAGATAAACAAACCAAAAACAACAATAAAAAAAACAGAATATGATCAAATATGATCCGGCTGATGCATAGATCAGTGCCACACACTAGATTTTGGGTGCATTTTGGTCTGTTAGAAGAAAGTGCCTCCCAAAATTTTAAAGAAAGAAAAGCTTACGTATGTACAAAAATAAGGGTTAGTACAATGAAGGTATGGAATATAACTGTAAAGATGAAAAGTATAAAAGATTTTATAAAAGGAATTGATAAGTTGTTTGAAAAAAGAAAGAAGAGGATTTAAAAAAAAAAGGGAGAGAATGTGATCAGGCAGGAGACTAGAACAAAGCCATACACTGGAGATTTAGGGTATATTTTGATCTGTTAGAAGACAGTGTATCTCAAAATTTTAAGGAGAGAACAACTTATATATATATATACCAAAAATAAGGGTAACTACATGAAAGGATAGAATATGAGTATAAAAATGAAAAATGAAAAATATTTTTTTAAAAAGGGAGTGATAAGATGGTTGAAAAGGGGAAAAAGAAAAATGTAAACCAAAAGTTAAGAAAATATTAACTTTTGATTAATCGTTAAACTTGGTCTTGGCTTGCTGGCCATTCTTGCTGATCTTCTGGGGGAGGGGCCTGTTGCCGTGGTTCCCAAATTTCTTTGCTGGAGGCGGAATTGCCCTGCCCTTGCCGGTCTGGACTAAGTAATCTGCTCTGGTTTTCTCTCAGGAGCTTTTGTTCCCTGCAAGCTCTCGGTACAGCTTTGGAGGACCAGAGTGAAAATGGTGGTCTCCCAATCTCCACCCTGGAGGAGCGGAGAACTCGGGGGCCCACTCCTCAGTGCGCCCCCAGAGAAAAGCAGTCAATCACTCCCATCTCCCGGTCTCTGGCCACACTCTGTTCTCACCCGGCCTGTGACCGAGCGTTTCTATCTCTGGCACCCGACCCGTGTGGAGTCTCCAAACCCAGCAGATCCCTGCGGTGTGCTCCCGCGCCACTCCTCCCGGGGGAGGAAGGGGAGTCTCCCCGGATCTGCCGCTTGTTGGGTCCCTACTGGAGGAGCAGGGGCCCGACTGCGCCGCGGATCACGGTTTATGGCAACCCCAAGCTGAAAGCCTGCGCCTTGGTTCTGTCTCTGCAGCCGGCTTCCCTGCTCCTATACCTGGGAGCTCTGCCGCACTCAGGCACCTTCGGTCTTCCTGTGACCCCGAGGACCCTGAGACCACACTGTCCCACGAGGGTTCCACCTCCCGCTTAGCCACTGGAGTGACTGTCCCTCAGTGGAACCGACTTCTAAATGTTCCGATTTTGTGCTCCGCGGGTCTAGCACTTGCCAGAAGTGGCTGATGGAGGCCCCCTCCCCTGACGTCTACCCTCCCGAATATCGCCTCGGATTCACTTCTCCGCACGTCCTGCCTTCCAGAAAGTGGTCACTTTTCTGTTCAGAGAGTTGTTGCTATTCTTCTCTTCGATCTCCTGTTGAGTTTGTAGGTGTTCAGAATGGTTTGATCCCTATCCAGCTGAATTCCTGGGACCAGATGAAATCCAGGTCTCCTACTCCTCCACCGTCTTGCTCCGCCCTATCTTACTGATTTTTAAAAATATTGAGTTGATTCTCTAGAAGCCTCCATTAGTGGGCATTTGGCCTTTTCTGTTTTTAGATCAATATGAACTCATGCCTTTAGATGTTTTCGATGTGTTTCACTTTTTTGATACTCAAATATTTTCATCTCTGGCCAGTAATCTCTTTTAGTTCGCTTTTATTTTCATACTACTCTGCTAGTCAGTGATAGTTTCCTTGCTTTCTGGTGTGACAGGTGTTTGAGGTTTATCTTGTGCATTTCCTGCCTCAAACCTAGAATGAAGCAGTAGAAGGAAGGAAATTAAATGATTTAAGAATGTTATTGTGAGGGAGAGATTTAAGCAGTTGGGAATTACCGTGGAAATCAGCTTATATATTCTAATTTATACATGGGCTTTCAGCTTGACCGGTAACATAGAAAATACTTGCCATCAACTAAACTTCCTATTTCAAACATTAAGTGTTTTTCTTTGTGGTCATGCAAGGTGATTTTTTTTTTCTTTGTAGGCTTTGCCAATCTGTCAGAAGATGATCAGGTGAATGTAATGGGTTTTCACTTCTTAGGAGGTTCTCGAGTTACTCTTCTTGCTTCTAAAACCTCTCGTAAGTAAAACTATGGTATTAATGCTTTTGAAATTTTCCATTGAGTACACTGCATCACAGATCATCATCACATCACGATTTCTGCAAAGGATATATTCAGTTCATTATTGAAAAGAAAGAGCCATGGTGTTAAGTATTTAGGACATAAAAATTATGAAGATAGGATCCTGTTTTATTAGAGATATGTAACTTTGGTTTTGGGGATTAGGAGAGTTTGAGAGAGAAATTTAAAGAATTGAAAATATTGTTGAGATAGGTATATGGTGAACTAGGTTTTAGGAACTATTAGAAACTGGAATTAATTTGTGTGTGTATGTATATTCATACGTCCTCCTTTTGGATATTGGCAAAGATGAAGGTGAAAGTGTGAATAGCTTCTGCTGACACTAATCTCAGTAGAATGAAAAGAGTAATTATGTAGTCAAGTTTGAATTTCAGATGTAAATATTCTTCATTGATTTGGTTGCTTCATCTGAGAATAATAGTTGAAACTACTCAATGTAAAACTGACTTTTGATGTATGTGGGATACTGAAGCTGCTAAACTCATTGAGTTATATACACCTTCATGGAAATAAAGTAAATATTAAGAAAATAGTGTTTAACAAATTTTAGGAACACTAAGGGTATTAGTGTGAATAAATGCATATATTGATATTTATATGTTAAAAAAGTTTGGCTCAGTACACTCCAATTTTTAAATCTCTGCAGTTTGTGCAATGGGCTTCCACTTTCTACTTTATGCATTTGCAGTTTTAGTTGGTTATTTCTTGCACCATCAGAAGATATAGTAAAATAGGGACATATTCCTTTTGAAAAATGAAGGTGTTAGCAGGAGGAATATAAACACATCCCTATTTTAGAAACTAACAATGTTACAGTTCTGGAATATATAGATTGGGGGCTGGTGAAATAGATTTGGATACAACTAAAAATTCTAGAATAAGGCATAGAAATCAAAGATAATTCTTAAAAGAATGAGAGAATTCTGTACTTTTCATGGTCTTTTTAAGTTGGTTTTTTTTTAAGATTTTTATTTATTTTTTGAGAGAGAGAGAGAATGGTATAGAGAGGGCATGAGAGGGAAGAAGGTCAGAGGGAGAAGCAGACTCCCTGCTGAGCAGGGAGCCCGATGCGGGACTCGATCCAGGGACTCCAGGATCATGACCTGAGCGGAAGGCAGTCGCTCAAACAACTGAGCCACCCAGGCACCCTTCATGGTCTTTTTGATTGGTTATGATTGCAGTCCTTTTTGCATTGGCACCATTTTGTTTTGATTAGATTTAATCTTCAGTTGGATGATGGGATTATTTTAGTACATTTCTCTTTGTTAAACTGTTCTCTTTAGTTAAACTAAAAAAATTATTGCCAGCATTTCCTTGGGAAATTGTACACATCTGTTCAGCTTCACTTGATAATGCTGTAATGATGAATCTGAAATTGAGATTATTAAAAAAAGGCAAAAATTATTCTTGATGCAAGTGGGAATACTTATGTCCTAATTTGTTCTTTTTTAGATAAGGTAACTCTTAGAGCATTGCTGTTGCCCATGATTACCTTATTGTTTCTAAATTTCACCAAATATCCAGATATATAACTGATTTTCTCACATTCATCTGAATATATGGCAGTGCCTTCATAGCCATAGAATGGGCAGACTAAATAATAGAATAAGACAGGACCTTTTAAATAAGGAACAAATGAGCTATGTAACCTGAAACCTGAATAGTAGCTATTACAATTCCTTGAAGGTTTTTTGGCTTCAGTGACACACAGAATTCTACCCAGGAAATGCCCTTTGGTGATAAAGGGAGGTAGGTATGAAGAGAGTAGTTTTCTGGGGTTGAGGCAGATGTTGGTGCTCTCGCTTGCTGTATCAGAGTGTTCCTCCCCAAGAAAGGAATGAAGTAATTTGTATCCAGTCTGTGTTTGGCATCTTTCTTTTTTATGAAAAGCACATAGTTTTTGGTTTAGAAATCTGAATTGACAGAAAAAAGTCCTACATATGGAAAGAACGCAATATTTTTTTCCCTCGTAAACTGTCAAGTGCTTTGTCAGTTGCCTTTGGATATTGGGTAGTATTTTCTGTGGGCTCCACATATTCATCTCTTTTTAAAACCTGCCTGATAATTAACCAAGCCTTGAAGTGTGCTGATGGTAATTTTAGTTCAATTTCCTGATTAGGTATAGATCAGCCAAAGCAGACAAGAGAAAAGCAAATGAAGTTCATTGGCTAAGATACCAAATCACATTCTCTGGGGGAACTGAATAGGTTTTTATTTTCAGAAAATAGAGTACTGCTTCAATGTAATCAGAGTTTATTATGTGAATTCTGGAAAAACAAAGTGTTGAAGATAAAAATACTTAGGAGAAACAGTCTTTACTAGAGAAATTTCTGAAAATGATTTCCAGAGTTCTAAACTGAAAATAGTAAGACAGGTGATGGCTATGTTTGTTACCTTGATTGTAGTGATAGTTTTACGAGTGTATGCATATGTCCAAATTCATCAAATTGTATACATTAAATATATGCAGTTTTTTGTATGTCAGTTATACCTCTGTAAAGTTAAAAATAATAAGACAGGTCAAATTTTATGAGATCAAATATTTTTATAATCAGAATTGTAAATATTTGTACTTGAAAGTTGATTATTTTGACTGATTCAGTACAGTGGGATTTCAGAAGGAATATGCCATTACCTAAATGTGTATATATGCCTGCCATGCTACTTTCCTAAACTCCATTTCCAGTGACTTATTCCCTCATACAACAAACACTGCCACCTCCCTCTCCTTCCTCTCTCTCCCTTTCTCTATTTTTCTTGGTGTTTATCTGTTTCTATTTTTTGCTTGCTTCCTTGCTTTCTTTTTTTCTTTCTTTCTTCCCTTCGTTCTTATGTTCAATTAGCCAACATATAACACATCATTAGTTTTTGATGTACTGTTCAACGATTCCTTAGTTGTTTCATTTTTTAAATTAATTTATTTATTTGAGAGAGGGAGAGCACATGAGCTGGGGGAGGGGCAGAGGGAAAGGGAGAGTATCTCAAGCAGACTCCCTGCTGAGCATGGAGCCTGATGTGGGACTTGTTCTCAGGACCTTGAGATCATGACTTGAGCCGGAATCAAGAGTCGGATGGATGCTCAACCAACTGAGCCACCCATGTTCCCCCCTGTTTCTATTTTGATCTTTATCTGTACTATATCTATTTGTACCTTGCCTTATTTCCACTTGTTTCTTTAAGGATTAAAAATAGTTTACAAGTTTCCAAAATATGAAAGGTGAAAATAAATAGTTGAAGGAAACAGAAAGAGAAAATAAGAGCAAGAAATTAATAAAGATATGAATAAGATTAACACTCAGAAATATATACTGTTCAGTCGATAGGGTGCAGACTCAAAGTGATAAGAAAACATTTGAGTTCCAATTTTCAGAATGTTCGAAGGATAAAATCAAATAAGTTGCTTAGGAGATGCACAGCCTTTATTGATTCTGAGTCCAGAATGAAATTTCTGAATTCACAAGGACAACTTCTTCGGTAATGTCTCTATAGCTTATTTTTATAATTATAATGTTATGTAATTACAACTTATGAGTAACAAATTTCATAGAGCTTTAAAAATAATGATGAATGCAATTTACTGAATATAATACTGTTTCAGCCCACATCAGTGCAGTCTGAGCAGGATTTTAATCCAGGGATAAATTTAGAGTATCTAGTGTTACAAGTTTTTAGTATCTAGTATTTTCACTAAGAATTGGACAACCAAGGGCTCCTGGGTGGCTCATTCAGTTAGGTGTCTGCCTTCGGCTCAGGTCATGATCTCAGGGCCCTGGGATCCAGCCCCACGTTGGGCTCCCTGCTCAGCTGAGAGCCTGCTTCCCCCTCTCCCTCTGCCTTTCCCCTCAAATAAATAAATAAAGTCTTTTTTTTTTAAGTCTTAAAAAAAAAGTAAAAGCACTTAGTAATTCAGAAGTGAGATGTAGCTGGAAGGAGTTGTGGGTTTTGTTTTATTTTATTTATTTAAAAAAATTTTTAAAGATTTTATTTATTTATTTATTTAACAGAGAGAGAGAGAGCGAGAGAGAGAGAAAGAGAGAGAGAGAACAAGCAGGGGGAGTGGCAGGCAGAGCAGGCAGAGCAGAGGGAGAAGCAGGCTCCCTGCTATGAGCCTGATGTGGGACTCGATCTCAGGACCCTGGGATCATGACCTGAGCTGAAGGCAGATGCTTAATCGACTGAGCCACACAGGCACCCTTGTTTTGTTTTAAAATGATCACTATTAGAACATACTTAAATAATAATTGAAAGATTGAGTTCAGTGGGAGAGGCTCATGATTAGGAAAAAGAAGGGGACTCACAAAGCAATGAAGTCCTTGAGAAGGAGAAACAATGTGGGTTGCAGAGGTTGGGGACAGGGGAGATTGAAGGATAGGCCTTTGTAACTTTACTGTGACAGGAGGGATTGGATGTAGGTCCAGTGAGATTTTGTAGATTTGTTGTTGGGATGATAAAGGAGCTCTGGTGGTGTCTAAATTGGAAAAAAAGTTATGATATTGGTGTCTTGGAGAATAAGAAAGCAAGCTCATGAAAGGATAAGGCAATTTTGAGTACCCATTTGAAGTTTCAAATCCTGAATTTTGAAGTGAAACCAAGTCATCCCAAGGCAATTTTCTCTGGCAGTGATTTGTTTACTAGCATCCAAGCAACTAAATTCAGGAGTGGGACTTTGAAACAGATAATTGCAAGTAAAATATTTTTTGTGAGACTGATTATAATAATGGACTACCAAATCTAAGCTGTTAAGAGAAATAATGATTAGAGAAAATTGATACATGGTGAAAAATTAATGGGGTCAATGGATCACGAGTCTTAATAAGGTTGAAGAAGTGTCATAGTGGCAGTTGTAGAACAACAGTTGAAGTAGAAGAACAAAAGGTCGTGGTCAGAGAATGAATGAGATGTTAATGTCAGGGTTCAGAGGAACTGCAGGTTCTGA